CCCCCCCGGCCCGGGTCACGGCGGCCCCAAATGCCCCCGCGCACGTGCACACGCGCGTGTTTTTTCCTGGAGTGGCATCTCGAGCCACGCGGGGAGTCCCGCGAATGCAGAAAGGCATGGCCCCTCAGCAAGAAGACAGGGTGGGGGGAAACGCGGTGGCCAGACTACTCGATGACCACCCCTTCCCCCTAAACTCTTTTTCTTTTGGAGAGGTTTTTGCTATAGGGCCCGTGCATTCGCCAGAAAGAGAGAGACAGAGAGACAGAAAGCGAGAAATCACCCCCCAGGGGGGGTGGCCACGCCGCAGTCCCTTCTCCTACATTCTCCTCTCGGGATCTTGGGCGCACGCCCACGCACCCGACGTGAGCTTTAAGCCACCGGGTCCGGGATGCGAATCGCGGTCCACTACATGGGAGTCCAGCGACATAGCCATTACACTAACTGCTGGTCCCCCCTCCCCCTAAACTTAGAAGACCCAGCCAGCCCCCAGATGTCCCCCAACCTAGGTTGTGGGGTCAGGGGCAGAGGGGTTGTGGTGGCCTTCCCGCCCTGGCCTGGGTAGTAGACTCTGCCTTTTTCTCCAGCTTCTCCACCCGCTCTGACCCACAGAACTGGGTGCATGGGGTCTGGAACCCCGGCCAGCTAGGTCCTCACGGGGGTGGGGGTTTGGTGGAGGTGGCCCTCCAAGGGACCGCAGTGGTCTCCTGAGCAGGAAACCCACCCTCTGTGGTCCACCAGACCCTTCCTCGCCCCCCATCTCCAGGACCCACAAAATCCGGACAAGAGAGGGCCTGGAAGAGCCCTAGGGCTGTGTCTGGTCCTGCCCCTGGGCAGCATGGAGCAACAGTAGCAGGGTCCCCAGCTCTCCCCTGCATGGGCCCTCCCTTCTTGGTTCTCCAGGATAAGGGGCCTCCACCCCCGGTCTAGGCTTGGGGGGAGCTGGCACCTGGGGAGGAGGGGTGTGCCCACAGCTGGGAACAGGAGAACCTTTCATCCCAGGGCAGGGGGGTAGTCACAGGGCCCCCAGCTCTCAGCCCCTCCCTCCATCCCCGCTGCCAGGAAGTCTCCCCACCGGCCCCAGCCATCTCTGGCCCAACCAGCAGGAAGTTTCTGGGCTGAGTCCCACCCAAGCTCCACCCGTGGGTATCCTTCAGACCCGGCCCTCGGCCCAGCATCTGCCCAGACAGGCTGGCGTCTCAGGCTCAGGGCATCTCTAGGAAGAGACCCGGGGCTGGGCCTGGGTCTGTGGGGGTGTCCTCGCACCCCACACCCTGGTGTCTCCTGGGGTTTGCTACTCTCAGACTGCCTCAGTCTCCCCCTGGTAAGGCGAGCGTCTGGGAAGCCAGGTCAGCAGGGTCACTGGGAGGGCCTCCCCTGGGAGCTGGGGTCACTCAGCTTCCATCACCCAGGTAGGCTCAGTCAGGGCCTGAGGGTTCCCTGGGGGAGCCCCAAGGAAGGGGCCCTGCCACCCCCTTTCTCTGCCCCCAAGGTGCAGACACTCCCCAGGGGCCTCCCCTGCGTCTGACACAGCTGCGCCCACCTCCTCCTGGTGCCTGAGGCTCTC